CTCCCCTCGGCACCCCGCACCCCCTTTGCACCGCGCCCCCAGCCAAATATGGTCCTGAGCGAAATCCGCGGCCGTTCGGGGCTGGAAGCGGTCCGGGAGCTCGCCGAGGTCTTCAGCCGCGAGGGGTACTGCGGCGGCCTTTGTGCATTGTGAGGCTTTCTAAGAATTTGCCAACTGCTCGTGCCCGGCCGGGTAATTAAAGCCTCTCAGACCCGTTTGACCGCGTTATACTTCGGTAAGGTTTCTTATCTGCTTCTCAGGGTAATTCATGTCATTGCATTTCGTGCATTAGACGCAAACCTGATATTTAATCCCATACTTGATGCTCTAACAATAACTTTGCTTTTTTGCATTTGTTACTCCAATTATATATATTTTTTTTCCCAGGAAGAATAAACGAAACCCCAAACTGTGTTGTATTCGTTATGATTGGCAGTTTACTTTTTCAGTAGATTTTCTAAGCTCCGCTATCCTTTCTATTTTTTTTCACGACTTTAGGCTTGTAGTTCTTTTCTGAGTGATAGAGTTGTCTCTGTGGCTGAAGTTCAGTGGCCATTACTAGCCTAGGCCCAGTAGTCCCTTTCTAAAATCATCTCTGTGTATAAAGACGAGACACTTGAAAAGTTTTTCTCTCGGATGTAAAGGAGCACTTTTACACATCTGATGTACACTCTGTCAAGCTTCATCTAGTGCTGCTCCTAAAATGGCTCTGTTTTCAGAGCTGGTCGCTTACTCTGTGTGGGTAGTGAGATGGCTTTCTAAGCTCGAAGGATGAATTAACAGGGAAAAAAGTCCTAAGCAAGGATGCAGTATTACTGAAAATGAGTATCATGGTGAAATGAACTGTTTGTAACGCTGTATTTGGGCTATGCACTCTCACTGCGCTACAGGTTACACTGCGCTGCATGTGGGGCTGGTCTAAAGAGAAATTCTAAGGCTTTTGATGGGTGAAGTACTAGTTAGGAAAAACAAAATTTTTATTCACTTGGATTTTCCACTGTGAAGTCTCAGAGTACAGAGTTACAGAAAAATGTAACGACAGAGCAATTTTTTATGACAAGTGTAAGAGTTTAGTTACCTTTCTATGAATAGAACAAAGTGTTTTACCAATTTGGAAATGGTCTAATCTTACAGTTTTTCCTAATATGAAACTCCCAGTGGAGCCACTCCCTTTTCTTGTAGTTACGATTAAGATGATTTGTTTCCAAACTACAGAAAGAAGGTGCAAGGAAGCATACACTTTAAATCACATAAGCGGGTCTGCTGCTTTTCTAGGGTCAGGAACAAAAGGTGGTGAGAGCCCATGCTGGAAAGAGATTCCAGTAACAGGCTATTTTACATAATTAATCAGAGAAATTAAGCCATTTAAGCAGCCAGAGAATGCATGCAAATATGTTAACAAATGCAATCATGGGAAGTTCTCTTTATCGTAGAGAAGTTTCTTGCTTGGATCGTGTTGCTCTGGGGCGCTACATATGGCCATACATTCTGCAGCTCTTATGACTATTCCTTTGCTTTGCCAGTAGCAAGAACCTTAAGTGAACCAGGTGGTTGTAAGGATGCACAAGGAATGTTGTAGTGGTGATCTAAAAGACCTTACACTCCACGCTCTCAGAAGAGCAGAGCAATGGCTGAAATCATGCTGATCTAAAGCAGGCAGGAAAAGTACGGAAGGAGAAAAAAGGAAATCACATCTTGAGAGCTCTTGTTTGTGGTTTTCTTCTGTGGAATTACGAGGCTTGCAGCTATTCTGAGTCATGACAGTGTGAGATCATGAGGCAAATACTGGAGAAAGTAAGGATTTTAGTTCTACAGTGGGTTCTTTACCCTTTTTTGACATTATCAGTAAAATGGCTCACCATCCCCTCTCCCACTGGTTCACTTACTGAGTATTCACTTAAATTATTCAATTGGGTTTTCCATGAACCGTTAAAAATGAGAAGTCAAGGTTAGGATTTAATGTCGTGTCCATTAAAGTAAGTACTGAAGTCTTGTATATTTGTCTTATTCTGATTAATACTTTCTTTAAAAAATGTCTTCAACCATTCCATGACAGACTGTTTCAAAACAGATCCCACAGTGAAATCAAAACATAAGTAAGAGTTTATAATGAAATCTAATAATCCAAACATCAGTAGCAGTCAAAAACTGGTTATGTCATGCAATAGAAGGTAAAATATCACAGCCACTATGAAGATAAATGCCATCTGTTGGAAATTCTAAAAAAAGTACTGAGGCTCAAAATAAGAAATCCAAGAAGTCAAGGTAGAGTTTGTAGCAAGTACAGCTATTTTCCTTTTAACTGAAATGAGTTGTTAAACCAAAAGGTGTTGTAAATTATATCTTAGTTAAAAAAAAAAAATATCAAGCGCCTCAGTAATCTAAGGAAACAGACACAGCATTCTAAATTATCAACAAGGAAGCGTGTATTAGAAGGTCTGGCCGTATTTTGTGTCTACTCTGTAGACAAGCAGCAAGTTTCCTTTTTTTATACAAACTTATTCATTTAAGAAAAGTTCAGTATCGGTAAAAAGAAGTCTTTTTAAATAGTTCTTAGAAACTACAGGACTTGTTTTAAGGAATTTTGTTGTGATCATATTTAGAAATCATTACGTTTCAGCTGGCACATTTTATTAGCAAATGAAAACTGAGTTGTGGAGAGCTGCCGTTAGAGCTTCTTTGCTGGAATTCCTTGCACATTTTGTACCATTTCCTTTTTAAAGATCTTTACTGCCTATTTATTAAAGTGTTATTGAGTGTTTATTAAAATTCACTGCATTTATTTAGATGCTTAGCATTGCAATTAAGATTTTTAGCACTTGAAATTTAAATTAAACCAAATCCAACATTTGACATTACTTTGAATATTCTTTTCAGCATGTTTTGAGCATGTGAGGTATATCTTCAATATATATGGTACATATTCAGCAAGTCTTGCATGACTAATTGTACCAGGAGTAGAGATTCAAATTTATCATTGAACAGAGATTGTGTTTTTAAGTCAGCGTTCAGGGCATAGGTCTTTGTTCAAGAAAGCAACACTGTTCAGGACAGAATAGTATTGTATTTTTAATTTTAAAGTTCCAATAGGATTTAAGCATGTGCATAAATGGCCTAGGGCTTCTGGCTAGGGCTTCTAGCTAGGGTAGTTTTTGTAATAAAGGCAGCAAAATTTGCGAGAGACAGCAGGGGTTTTTATAAGGTTTTTGCTTATAGATCCAGCTGCTGTGAAACAATTGAAAAGACCATGTTAATGTCTTTAATGAAGCCTTTTACTTGTAACACAGGTATTGATTGCTGCTCATGTGGTAACATGCTGTTCTTCCAGGCTTTTGGTTGTCCAACTCAGGTGATGCCACACTCAGGTCAGTGCTAGTGTGTCCGTGTCATTTTGGCTCCTCATTTATGGCCTGTAGCTCATACAGGGTGCTTATTTCTTTTTGTAGATGCAGAGTCTGGAGCAAGCTGACATCTACTCCCTTTTCGTAGGAGTGCAGGTTTCACTGCTGCCAGTTGCTCTGCTGCTTCATGACCTAAGTCAGAGCAAATATGGTCTCTAGGTATCGATTTTACTTCACCATAGAGACACCTCACCAAGTCCTGTTCTTTGCTTCAGACCCCAAGTAAATTTGAGCTCTAGGGCTTCCACAGGCCTTCAACTTTTTGGAGAATCTCACCCTATCAGAGCAATAGCCTTCTGTGATACTCACTTCCACTTATTTTTCATTCATATTTCCTATTATATGATAGTTTTGTTAAGTGGAATCAATGCCCTTGCTAAGAATATTGATGCTTTCACATTTAACTGTGGAGTATTTTAACTAACATTCTCATTTGATTGAAATGCCCCCTTCCATAGTTCAGACACTCACTGCTCCTTTTCGGCACCCTCCCTGCTCCTTGAACTCAGCAGCACTGTAGTAGCCATTATTCTTGATTTTTACTGCTCTGACTCCTTAAATTAGTTCCTTTGTGCTGCTTAAAGCCAGCTTGAATTGATTTTCTTCTTGCATATTCATACTAGAAGTAGGTGTTCCAAGAGAATGGCGTCCTGCTAGTAGAAGTATTCAAACAAGCCACCTCCTCATGCAAGTCAGCACCAGTAGGCTAATTTCTTACAGGCAGCATGCTAAGCCGAGATGGTAACCAAGCTGTGGCCTCATGTATTGTTTCTGAGAGGGTACTTCTTTCATGAGACCCCCTGTCTGTACCTCCTATGCATGTGTCTGCCTGGACGTGAACTGAATGCTATGCTGTCCCTGATTGAGTGCCAAGGCCACTTTTTCTCTGCCCTAGGGCAAGGGGAAAAATGCCCGAAGACTTGCATCCCAGCATGGGGCTGTGGGGCAGAGAGCTGTCTGAAACCCTCTCTTGGGACTGTATGGCTATGCCTTGCACTTTATGCATGGCTATGTCCATTGATTGCTTCAGCTAAGTCCATATGGAAAATAGGTCAGCCACGGAGTGGCTCAGGAAGAGAGCTTTAATTGCGCGGGTTGTAATCTAGAAAGCAAGGGGGTGTGCATCATCATGGAGGAGGCTGGAACCAGTTCCAAAGATGTTATCAAGCGCTGTGGAATCTAGCCCTTAGACAGCTATTTGTACTAGAGACTTGCAGGGAATATCCCATGCAAGTCATCCAATTGTTCCACTGTGAGTAAAAATTGCTTACTATAAGGCAATGTGCTAAAATCCTTTGATTATTTTCTCCTCCAGAAATGGAAATTTAAAGAAACATACATTTACAAAGTGCATCTCTTCCTCAGCCCCATTCTAAAGTATTCAGAACAAAAATACATCACTCTTTTGGGGAAAATACATTTTGTAGGAATCCTCCTGGTGTAATTCTAGAATGTCATCAATACCAGAGGGTGCGGTAAAACTTACGGTTTCTGTGATGCCACATACAGTAGTTGCTGCTCAACTCTCCAGTTTTAATGATCACTGCACAGTTATTTTTGAGATCCCAGAAACAGGTTTCTCTGTGGTATATTGGACAGGAGTATGATGACTGCCTTTCTAATGCTGACCAAGGTAAACCTGTGTTCAATTTCGTTTTAACCTTGCATTTCACTTGGCACTTGATACAGATGGAGACTGGCAAAAGTAGTTCAGGGAAAGCTGATTTCCCTCCTCGGCAAATACAGAAACTCTTCACACATGAAGAAGCATTAGTAAAAGGCTGACTACAATGGAGGAGCACCTCAGCAAGATTTCCAGTTTGTTGCTTGGAAAAATTGGGATTTTGCATTTGCCCATAATTATTTTTATTATTTGAAAACACAAGACAATATACCAGTGGCTGTCTTCTGGTTAATAGGGAGGGGTGTCTGCTTATATTAATAGCTGTGTGGCTCCCTAGTCCTGACTGCAGGCACCCTGGAGCCTAAAATACTCATTGCAGTTCCTGTTTTAAATAGCACTGCTAAAAATGGCAAAATTTCCATGTCTTTGGAGAAAGCATGCATCATTCTAACTTTAAATTTCTTTTTTTTTTTTTCTTTTTGCACTGGCAAGCTGAAAGTGCAAAACCACTTGCCTCATGTTGAGAAAAACATTCGGTGGATTGATAAACCGTTCAAATTTTGGTGAAAATATACTCATTAGTCCATAGAAATCACAAAGCATATTTAGAGGTAGGATTTTAGAATTTCCATGTGGGAAGAATGGTATGAAAGGAAGGATAGTCTTGTGGCTTAAGAAACTTAGCAAGGCTTTTGGTCAATGTGGAACTGATTTTTTTTTTTTTTCTCAAAAACTTCAGGAAATCATTACAGGAATAATTACAATTACTTTTAGATTGAATTACATGCATAATCTGATGCAGTTAAAACTTCCCAAACAGGTTGCATGATATTAATAAAAGCAGCCATGAGGAAATGCCTTTCCTATAAGCAATTACAGAGCCTTTAGAAATGAGAGAATGAAGTTAAACCCAGTGTGTGTTTGGTGTGAAGCTATAGGGTGAGGACACCTTCCTTGTTCTGCTTTTATATATAGCACCTGTACCCTTTTATGAATCCTACCTGCAAAATCTATTTGAATGTCACTTGTAGAAATGTGCAAGTGTTTCTATCCCATTTTTATTTTTAAACTCTGGCTGCAAATTTGTATAAGGTTTGACCTGATTTTTGTAAATCACTCAGATCTACTAAATTCTTGGCCAAAAAAACTTGTGCAACTCTGTTCAAGAGATCTGGGTTCACTTATTAGCTCAGCTGCGGTGTTTGTGATCTCCAGCATGCCTTATTTCCCCCCTTCTAAAAGAGGCATCGTAACGCTTCCTTTCATATTGCGTTTTTCTGTCTTAGTTATTCAGAGGGCAAACCTTTCAGGTCAAACATCATCTTTTACTGTATATTTGTGTATAGCCCTGATCTTAATTTGGGTCTTCTGGGAGGTTAAAATAAATAATACACCTAGCAACAGCAGTAGAGAAAAAGCAGAATGCAAGAGAACGTTGGCACAATTTCTCTGCTGAGCAACTTGCCCAGGGATGAACTCACCAGACAGGTTAAATACCAGTATTTCAGTTTAAGCAAAGGTTCCATAAGAATTTTCACATGTTGACCAAGTATCAGTCTCACCGACTGAATGGTGGCCTACATGAATGCTGAAAGGTAGTGAAATGTTCCCTTCCCAGACAAAACCATTTGGTTGTGTGGTGGCAATGAAATAGCATAGAGGAGACCATTCTTTCAGTCATGAGTTAGGCATGGTTTGCATAACATTTTGAGAGGCTCATGAGGCAGAGACTGCATTTGTAGCTTGACACTGAAAATCTACAGCTGATCTGAAAACTAGTATCAATTTAGACCAGATCGGTGCTTCCTCTGTATGTCACATGCTCCAGATCTGTGAGAGTTGCAGCGTGATAGTCAACTGTATGTGGAAAAAGTCATTGACCATAACAATGATAAATTTTAGAACCAACAGAGTCAAAGTTTGAAGTGTGCAACTATACCATGCATGAGATGATAGTGGTGGGCATCATGACAGAACAATTATTCTCTTAGAAGATTAGAGACTGGCACTGGCAAATACCAGTAAAAAATGTTTTTACCTGTTGATTAATATATGAAATGTGGTTTCATGTTGTCTTTCTTCCAGTTTCTTTTTGAAAATAACTTGCAGTTCTAAGCAATACTAAGTTCTAAGCAAAAATAGGTTTAAACAATAGATAAAGGGCAATTAAAAGGTAAAAGCATCTTTTCAAATAGGCTTTGAAGCAGTGAAGAACAAGGAGTACTGATGGAATACAGGATTATGGTTTACATGTAGCAAAAGCTAAAAAAGAACATCCATCCCTGTCCATGTTGTGGGCAGATTTTTGTTAGCAATAAAATGGAATAGGGAAAAATAACATAAGAAACTGAAATGAGAGAAGTGGTGGCAGAAAAGCATTGAATGGGGTTGATGTTTTTAAAAAAAATACAGTTAGATTTTATTGCAGTTGCTGTAATGTACTATATTGTAAATGGCTGATCTATCTCATGCTGGAATAAATATGCAAAAACCGGTGGTTTATGCAAGTATTTATATAACATATCCTCACTGTTTTCTTTCCCAACTGTTACTCCGCAAGCATGGAAAACACTTATAATATTTAGTAAAATATTAATAAATGCACTCAGATCTTTAATGCTAAACTTAGGTTTGGTACTCTTGTCTTTCAGCAAAGAAGCTGCATTACTTAGGAATGCAGTCCTGTTGTCAGTTTAATATATTATGGGCAGCGTGGGATTTAGATGCCTATTACAAACAGAGTTGCAGACCCAGAGCAAAGGTTTACAGCATGAATATGCTGTAGAGGTACTTGTGATACTGTGGGAACTTCAGTTCTCCATTGTCACAGGGTACTTGTAAAGTTAGCGGCTTTGTCTTGCTGGAACTTGCCAGGTACAAATATTTAAAACAAATGTTTTGAATTATCAGCATCACCTAAACTGAAAGCAGAAATATCAAAGGTTTCTGACCTCATGTAAAGGAAGACTATACACAGTGCACCAAACTTTCTTTCCTCCCTATTTTTTTTTTTTTCACCTCCCGAGAGTCCACGCTCCACAAGATTCATGGTGCTTCCGGCTGCTCCAGAATATGAAAAGGCTTAAAAAATTGTCTTCGTCTTGGCAGGAAATTCTTCATGAAAGAGATACTACCTTCCTTTATCCTTAAACTTAGGTCTCTGGGTATATCCTCTAGGAATTCATGCCTCTCATTCCCTCCGTCTGCCCCAACTATACACTTGGTCTCAGCCTTTTCATCGTGGAATTTCATACATTTCTAGAAAATGGGGGAACTTACTATGCAGCATCCTCTTTCTGTGCACATACAGAAACACAGAGGTGGAACCTATTATTTCTTA